TCTGATAACCTTACCAGAACTATATCAGTATAATTCTTGCCAGAGCTAGCATTGCTTACACATCAACGTTAACCCAGTTCAACAAGAACTGAGTTGGATGGACGAGATAATGGTGTTCCTCCAGCATGGAATACTACCTCAAGCGACCTAGCTAGCTCGAAAGCTGCGGAGGAGAGCTTCAAGATACGTACGAAGTAATCGATAAGAGGGGCTACTATTTCCCATATCTTAGATGTTTAGCCCCAGCTGAGTCCTCCTATGTCAAGGAGGAAATTCATCAAAAAGTATGTGAAAACCACTTCGGATGACATTCGTTGGCTCAAAAGATTCTTAGACAAGGATTCCTTGGACTATGCATGAAGATGTGAAAAATGCTAGAAATTTGTAACAGTTCCAAAGCTCCCTACAGAAAAACTCACTCCAATTGCAAGCCCTTGGCTATTTGCTTAATTGGGTGTTGGCATCGTGGGACCACTCTCAATGAGAAGAGTAGAAAACATATTTGTTGTAGTTGCGGCCGATTACTTCACTAAGTGGGTAGAAGCATATCTATTAGCAACTATAAATGAGCAAAAAATCCAGAATTTCATATGGAGATCAATTGTTTGCAAGTTTGGGATAACTATCATTATAATCAACGACAATGACAAGTAGTTTGATAGCAACAAGTTTAGAGAATTCTACTGCGAGTTAGGAATCCATAACCATTACTCTTCTCCGGATCATATAGAAGCAAATGGTTAAGCGGAGGTAACTAATCAAACTATACTTCGAAATACAAAGACCAGGCTCGAGCAGTCAAAGGGGCTTTGGGTTGAACAACTTCCAAGAATCCTATGGGTGTACAAGACCACTATAAGAGTGCCAATAGAGGAAATACCTTTCTCTTTAGCCTTCGGCACAAATGCAGTCATTCCAACAAAAATAGGAATGGCAACTCATTAGAAAAAAGAGTTGGATCTTAGCAGGAATGATTGCAGATAACCTAAATTGGCTGGAGGAGAAGAAAGAATAATCCCGAATAAGAGTGGTAGCGTACCAAAGTTAGGTTTCCAGATACTACAATACCCGGGTAAAATCCAGGCAGTCCCAATTTAATGATCTAGTACTCAGGAAATTTACCCAAGCTATAAAGGGTCCAAGTGAAGGAAAGTTGGGAGCAACTGAGCTTACCACATCACAAAGATAGTAAGACCTATACCTTATCATCTAGAAACTATGGAATGAGCAAAGCTACCACATCCTTTGAATATATAACACCTAAAAAAATATATTAGTAGAAATCTTCTTGCATTAGTCCTAGGGATGAAACAATATTACTGCTTGCAATAAAGAACGAAGTTTTTTCTTCTTTATAATGAGAAAATGCAAGAACATGACTTACAAGCCCTCAACCTACTCGGATTGAGTCTACTTGACCCAATAGAAGCTCAATTGGGACTCACAAGCCCACAACCAGCTCGGATTGTGTCTACCTGACAAAAATTTGCCTAGGACTTACAAGCCTACAACTAGCTCAGATCTAGTCCACTTCACTCAACAGAATCTCGATTGGAACTTACAAGCCCTCAAGTAACTCAAATTAAGTCTACATGACTCAAAAAAATTTCAATTGGGCCTTACAAGTAACTTGACTCAATAGAAGCTTGATTGGAACTAACAAGCCTTCAAACAGCTAGAATTAAGTCTACTTGAATCAACAAAAGCTTAATTAGGACTTATAAGTCCATAACCAAACTCAGATTGAGTCTACTTGACCCAACAGAAGCTCAATTGAGACTTACAAGTCCACAACCAACTCGAATTAAGTCTACTTGATTCAACAGAAGCTTGATTGGGAGTTACAAGCCCTTAACTCACTCAAATTAAGTCTATTTGACTCAGTAGAAACTCAATAAAGTGGCAATAACCGAAAAAAAATGTCCTTTACAAGATTAAGATTCTTCCAAAAGACAAGGGGACAAGGAAGGAGCAATACAAATGCAGTACTTAAAGTCTTTGTTTCATAAGATAAGAGTTGTACAAATTTACAATTTTTTTGACAAGAAAGCGGAGAAAGAAAAATTTCTTGTGTTTCCCTACTGATTAGTTAGGCCCCATAAGCGTTTTTTTTGTTGAAGGGGACCCTTGCTCCTGGCTTTGCTTCCCAAAGGTAGTAGCCATAACCACTAGCTCACAGTAGGCTCTGCATCATCATCCTCTGAAGCTACCGTCGGTCCCTCATCATCATAGGGCTATCACCTCTGCAATGGCCAGAGGAGAGCCAAGTTTAATTAAACTCCTAAGAGGTCTGAGACCTCACTCAGCAGCCCGGGCAATCCTTGCCCATCCGTTTGAACTCAAGGGAGGCCTCTCTTCTATAAAATGCAAATAGATAGGAATTATAAAAGGAGAACAAGGCAAGAGTACATGGCAGAAAACAAAAACAAGGCCAACCTTCATTATCAGGAGGATACTAGATCAAGGGAACCCTCAAACTAGCTCTTACAACCCCCTCAAAATTTCGGCCATCCCCTAAGATGAGTAAGAATCTCCTTTCCCAGCTAGGACGATGATAGAGAAGCTCAAAGACGAGTTCCAACATATCTTCCCTTCGAAGGAATTGACAGAAGCCATGGTCGTCAGGGGCCAAACGGAAGATGTTGGTAATTTGTTGGAGAATGACCGAGCCCAGCCAGGAGCTAGATGGCCATTACCCCAACAATAATGCCATACCCCTCCAAGGAAAAACGAATGGGGCATAGGTTAAAGAAATGAAGAACAACCCTTACAAAGGGAAAGAAGGGGAACCGAAGATCGGCTTCAAAGGCATGCTCAAAGAAGAAAGCCTGAGTAGAGACCATTGTATTGCATGGTGAGTCGAATGTGGAGACCCGAAGTTAGATCCCAATAGAAAATGCATAGAGATCTTGAATAATTAGTAAGTTTGCTACCGTCATGATGTTGGGGACTAGCAATTCGGCACAGGCAGGTTCCATGAATAGTGCAACATACCTATTGAAGGTTTTGACTTGACATTGGACATCCATGAAGAGAGAGTAGGAGGAAACGTATGAAAGAAAAATGATGAGGAATACAGAGTTTCAAAGGCCTAAATAGGGCTGCATTTTTATTCCTTAAATGGATTTAAATGCATGACACCTACACCTGTAAGATGACATGACTGATATTCAAGGCGTTGTGAAGTTAAAATGATAATATTCATTCCTCTTGCCCATTGAATAGTTAAGATAGAGCATAATTGTCTACTCTATGTTGTTTCAACTATTATAGACAAATACAAGTTCATCTTTTGGATTGGGCCCACTGGGAAACTTGACCCAATCAAAAAAAATTATTTGGGCCAGATTGGTAGTTAGCTCACTCAGGATCAGAGTTAAAAAAATAAAAGATCAAAGCCAAAAGTCTTCAAGCACATCCTTTGTATTGTATTGGGGCCATTGGTAAACCCAACCTAGTCAAAAAAAATTATTTGAGCCACATTGACAGTTAGCTCACTCAAGATCAGAGTTAAAAAATAAAAGATCAAAGTCAAAAGTCTTCTATTAGTATCTCGGGGACTATAGATGAGAGAAAAGAGAAAAAGTATCAAGTGGAACCCCTTGGGGTCAAAACAAGAATAGTAAAAGCAACTTTTGATGGATCCATACCCGCTCCAACAACTTCCTTAGTCATGTTAGAAGGGTTGCTGGCACTAGCCAATGCTAGCTCTTCTTCTCCTGTTGTGATCAGGATATCCACCTCTTTGCCATCACCCATGTCTTTGTTGTCCATAGTCACTGGAGTAGCATCCTCTCTAGATTAGAAAGAAGAAAAACCCAATTCTAGAGTTTTTTGCTTGACCCATAAATGTAGTATTCTAATATCTTATCTTTGAATTCTACCGAACCTTGATAAACAGACAAGGCTAGAGCTATAACAACTTGTAACTTAGCCTTTTCTTTTCCCAATAGAGGTTGAGTGCTTTGAGACCTTTTGAGAAAGGATCTCCTTTTCATCTTCCAAGCCCTTGCTCCTCACAGAGAGCTTAGAATACTCTACCATTGCCCCATTCAACTGGGATTGTAGATCACTATTGAGTTTGACAACCTTGTCTCTATCCTTCTTAATAGAAGAAAGGAGACTGGAAGCCTTCTTAGCAAACTTATTGGAGAGAGAAGCATCCTTGAGAGCAGAGGCTAGCTCCACCTCCTTCGCCTCAAGTAGGGAACGAAGGAATTAAATTTTCACTTCAGAAGACTTCCTCTCACTCACAGCAGAATAAGAGAGGCTTGTGGTCAAAATGGCGAGTTGGAAAAAGGAAGAGGAGATTAGATGCCGAAGATTCGGAAGGAGCAAATTTAGATGAATTGAAGATTTACCTATCCAACAATGAGGGCTAGATTCTTGTTGACACAAGATGGGCCCAAATCAATAGTGGACTACAGTTCATCTTTATGAACGAATTGATGAAGTCGTGGCATGAGCTCCTCTACATTGACCCACATAGCTTGGGGAACAACTGTTGGATGAGGAGAAAGGGGCAATACGGTGCGCTTGTTCTCCTCGTTGGCCCTAGGATCTGTACCTTTCCCCTTGTCCATTTGATGGATATTGGGAATCTCTGCAAGAGGGGATAACCTAGCCAACTCAATGACAACTTGGGAAAAGCCATCGCCAGAGGTGACCTTAGTGTTTGGAAATGTAAAACCTAGGAAAAATTTGAACTTTTATGAAAAAGGGTAAAATGGTAATTAGTCGCTATGGTACGGGTTGAAAACTCAAATTTTTCTAGAACTTGGATGAAAAAATGGACCTCACAGTTGGATTCGTCTCTCGAAATCTAGTTATCCAGTCAATTTTTATTGAACTCCGAGAAAGTTATATTTTTCACGTTTTACGACGCGATCGAGTGTTGTGTGACCAAAATAAACACGATCGAGTTTTATTTGCGAAACATAGAAAATAATTTAAATTTATTTCAAATAAAATATTTTCTATGAATTACGGATACAGATACAGGATACAGGTACGATACGATACGGATACGGCGATACAACAAAATTTGAAAAAGTAGGATACGAGTACGGCCAAGATACGACTATAATAAAATATATTTAATATTTCTATGATTTCAACCAGCTTAATACTTATATATTTTGATATTTTTTTAATATACAATAAGGAAAATTAATAATTTTTTAGTTTCAAGAAAATATATATCACATCGTTGTAGTATATTCAGAAAATAAAGTGACTAATTAGAGGAATAAAAGCTAATATTTACTTAGTATTAAGAAGTAATTTTTACTAAGATAATAATATAATAGCTTTATATTATGCTATTTTGACATGTAATTATAGGTAATGCTTAAGAAACACTCATGTGCCTTTGAAGTAATATGAATTTTTTGTTAATGTATTATATGGTATGTGAATTCGAAAAGAAAAGTTAAAAGTTAAACTCAAAAATTATATATGTTACTTGACTACAAAAGTATTCGTGAAGTATCTTAATATTTAATTATTATTGGATACGTAGAAGGTGTATCCGATATGTATCCTCAAATATCTGACAAGTATCATATCCAATACAATATCGGATATGGATACGTCAACTTCAATGAAGTATCCGTGCTTCATAGAATATTTTGAACATAACACGAGACAAGATTTAATTGATCCGAGATAGAATTAGATCAGAAAAGGACAGAAAGTGTGGCACGTTGTGGGCCAATTATCCAAGGGATATAAAAAGGAGGAAAAAATAAGATTTTCCCCCAATTGCTTTTGGGTTTTTTTCAAAAAAGAGAAGGGAGAGAGAGGAGAGAGAAATTATGGTTTCTTCCATCTTCTTGCAATCTAGGGCCAACTATTCGTCGAAACGCTTCGGGCCAACTATTCGTCGAAACGCTTCGGGCCAAGAAGTAAAGTTGATCTACGTGACGAGAGCTACATTTACATACTAAAATTTGAGAATTTCGCTAAAGTTTCAAAGACATAATTTTGAAAATCAAGGCTTGAAGCTTGATTTGGACTTCTTGGGAGTTTCTACCACTCGTATTACGCTTCAAGAGGTAGGGTTCTTCTCTGAGCTAGGTTTATTTTCAACATAGGATTTTGTATGAAATGGGTAGCATAATTTGAGATGAAATCTATTGTCTAATTGTGTTTCTAGTGTAATAAGAGTACGGGGAATGGTATAAGAATGTATTAAACTAATTTTGCATGAATTATGTATTGTTGAAATTACTTATTTGGTGATTTCATGAGAATGTGATAAATTGGGCATGATTATGTGCTTTAAAGGTATTGATAAAATACCTATGATTGATAAGTATGTCACTTGCATAAAATTGATATAACATGCTTTGTTGTGATGTTAGAATGTAACTATATGCTTAATGATACAAGTTACATTCAGGATCTGAAATTTTTCATATTGTGCTAATTACACGTTGAACATGATGTTGTATTTGCAATTGAAATTTTGGTTGCATGATGATACAATTGTACATTACATTACATATGCATGGAAAGAATCACATTTGTGGGAATGTGACATGGGTGTGGGCGTGTACATGGTTTTGATAAAACATTATCCTTGGTGAGTTGATACGTGAGCTCGGGAAAGTTGGGCCAAGGTTCAACTGAGTCACATGAATAGCATCGAAAATAGGGTAAAGACTAGCAAGAAGGGCTAGATTATCTCTTGGGTGCAAGACCCGGTGATTTGGATGTGCACTCCGTTGGTATTGAGTGCATAAGGTGTGTCAGTGTATGCAGTCGTTGGTGGAAGTCCATAAATACCCACCCCAAGAAGGACCCAAAATTTATAAATTGTCATTGGATGTGCAACATTAATGGCGGGGGCTTGGAATATCCAGATGCATACTCATGACATTGCATGTGGTATGGAAGCCGATGGAGGGCGTGGGGCTCGAGTTGCATTGCATGCGTGAGTCTCACCTTATAACATGACATATCATTGTGACATTCATTTTTTGAAGTAGTATGTTCTTGGATGAATACTTGTTGAGTTTTGAATTACATGTGAACATTTCATATGTATCTAGATTGAGGAGTAGTCTCTTTAGGAGATACCCTATTGAGCGTGACTCACCCTTTATGGGGACAAAATTTCAGGCGCGGGACAAGTGTTGATGGATGGCCCTCACATGGGACCTTGTTGATGAAGAAAGTTGAGTTATGTCTTTAAATTATATTTTTGTAAAACAATCATGTAATTAGTTTTGGACTTGTAATGTTGTATAAAGGGTTGTATAATGAACTCGTGGGGACTATATTTTGAGTATATTTTGATGTTAAATGAGTTTGGGTGAGTGTTGTATGTGATTGGATGAGTTGAATTTGAAAAAAGGATTGAATTGGGAAAAATTTGGGCCATGCTACCAATAGCACATTGATTAGCTACCAGTAGCACGATTCCAGCGAGCTCAGCTTCTGGTAAAAGTTATTGAGCTACTGGTAGCTCGCTGGCAAATGACTCAACTACCGGTAGCAAGTATACGAGCTACCTGTGGCACCTCCAAAATTTTCAAAATTTTAAAATAACTTTGCCAAGCCTTCGGGCCCTAAGCCCTTTTGTTCAAATGGTGTAAATGGAGTAATATTAAGGACAAATCGATGGATATTTGACCTTGGAAAGGTCAAGTGATTGATATGTGTAAGTGATGTTTTGCCCAAACTTTGTGTTGGTTTACGATACCAGTGAAGGGGACATTGTGACGTGGTGTCAGGTTATGTGGCATGTAAGGATATTTTTGCGGGTTGATAGGTGATCAATGGGTTGAGAAAGGACCCTCGGATTTTAGGGGCATAACAGGAAAAGATCATGTAGAAATATCGGAGATTTGAAGCATCCCTTGCCCTCGAGTGAAAGACATCCTCGACCATTTACGAGAGAGAGGGCTGGTTTTTAATGCCCTCCTAGTAGCAATAGCTTGCAAGACCTTCTCATCAATAGCCTTTGGTGTCATATTTGAAGAATCACTCAAAGGTTAAAAGAAGACAACAACAGAAGACTAGGCAAACCAAAGGAAATGTCTACCTTTTGAAGGAGGGTTTACAACAGGTGATCCTATAAGGCCACCAAGAGGAAGCCCTAGAAGACACTCTGAGAGAGCTTGGTCAGTCTTAAGCACAAAGAAGTCCTTGGTAGGGTAATCAAGCGCAAAGTTAATCCGCGTTCTTGAATTAGAAGATTAGGGGTTTGACTTGCCTGCAAAGAGTTGTACGAGAACCAACGGGCCTTTGGTCCAATGGTACTCCTTACCTTGTGAAAGGTTTACCTTCTTAAGGTCGAGGGTTCAAGCCTCCTTCCCCCTACCCCTTCCTAAAAAAAAATTAAATTTAAAAAAAAAAAGAAGGGTACACAAGAACCTAAAAGGGACATAGAAAATAGCTACCAAAAAAATTACTTACTAGAAAATGGGGTTGGAGTTCCTCAAATACCAGGGACTCAAAAAGAGTTCTTAGAAAAAGTTTCAAAGGCCCTAAATTCCCAACCAGGGCCAGAAACAAAGAAAATTTGTCTTTCCACTCCTTTACATTGGAGGATAAGCTTGTAAGTAGAGAAAGACCCTCTCTTCAAAAAATAAAACCACCCCAATCAATGGGTGATTTTATAGTAGTGCAGTAGCTCGAAAAAGAGGTTTGTACACCAAAGCCATTCACCTTGGCCTAGAGGACACCCATACCAATAAAAAAAATCCAACTAGGAGGAGTCAATTGGGCAAGAGCAAGGTTCAAGAGATAGAGAGCCTCTCTAATAAAAATAGGGAGTGGAAAATGAAGTGTCGCTTCAAAGGTGGACTTGTAGAAGCAAATTTTCTCAGGAAAAAGTAGTTAACAGTTTCATCAGAAGAAAGGACCCGTAGGCACAAAGAGCTAGGGATTGAGAATCAAGCTCTTCAAGGGAGCCCTCACTCAAATAACTAAAAATGATTTTTGTCCCAATAATTCTCAAGGTCGAGGACCCAACCTCTTGAATAAAGTTAGGGCCTTCCTTGTTGGTAGCATCTACATGGGCCATAAGTGCCGAAACGATCTCTGTAGGAGGATGATTAGAGTCGATAGCCATAACTAGGAGGCTTTGGTGATTGATGCACAAATTTGGAGGAAAAGAGAGATTAACTCTGCTAGCGACCAAAGAAAGATAAAATTCGAATATAGAGGCAAGACGAGCACAAATGGGTTTGCTCACAAAAAACCCGAGAGGTTCTTAGTCAGAATTCTTCCACCTTAGAAAACAAAATCGCTGAAAGAGAAATTGAAATACGTGGCTCCATCCTATTCGATCTAGAGTGATTAATCATATTGAAATAGAAATGCAAAAGAAGATCAGGGCGAGGAATCAAAGGCGCACAAGAGTTTTACAAGCTCTTAAAAAAAATTAGAGAAGAAGGTAGAGAACTCTTATAGACTGGGCCCACAATGACTCTTTCGCAGTTGAGTATACCAAGCAAACATTTCTACTCCTTCCAACAGACGAATGTAATCAATGCCTTCAGTGTACCTTCTATAGGTCCAAGCTAGGGGCAGCTGATGGAGCTAAATATGTCTTAGGGTAAAGCACGTGCCTGGAGGGATCACGAGACAAACACGTGAGTTGGATCTGGTGTGCGGAAGCAGCTCCAAAACCCAAATATGTGAGTTGGACTAGTGTGAATAATGCTTAAGCTTGATAAT